TAATTAGCACTAAATATCAGCAGATTCTTTATGGTTAAGTTAGTCTCAAAAATACAGGCTATATTAACGCTGTGTTCCTTTTGTGATAATCATCCTAACCACCCACCACCCACATCAAATATGTCTTGCATAGTTAAAAAAAATGGAGCCCCCTTTGGTGCGCCATGTTATTTTGCATCAGTGTGTGATTAGAATTAATTTTTGAATTGGTATCAGTCTGATTCTGCTACTGGAGATCAGCACTATCCCTATAGCAAAACCAGCCCATTTCTGTTGTCCTGCATAGCTGTTTTTAAATTAAATCTTTTGCATTCCTCACCATTCAGTGCCAGTTTATACCAGCTGGCTGTGCAGTAAAGCACGAAAATTGTTCCTCGGGCCTGTTTGTTTAAAGCTATGTTAGTAAATTCTAACCCTTGTTGGGGTTATAGAAAAACCAAAGGCATGAAAGAATAACTGGAGTGGAAAATCGTAAGATTTAGAAGCAAATACATCTGCCAGCCTAAGGACTATTCTCTGGAATAATTGTTTGACAGTAACTCTAGGCAGGTGGAGAGGCTTATTTTTAGAGCTATGCATAAAAGGTATACAGGTGGACTAGGGAAGTAAAAGTCTGAAACCCCACAGTCTGCACCTGCCTCACCATCTGCCTCTCTTCATGTTCTGACATCACAGGTCATCCATACTGTTCCTTTTTCAGGCCATGTGTTTATTCACAACATGAACATAAAAGAGTACTATACAGCTATATTTTTGTTCATCAAAGGAACAACAATGGTCTTGAGGGCCAATTGTGTACATTGCAAAATTACACTACATTCATGTTCCCAGACGAAAGATGAGTAACACGTTCTATGAATGTCACCTTTGTAAGCATCTATAAACACATTCATAACATGTTATAATGCATTCATAAACATGGCTATAAATATTTATAAAAATGCATTATACATTATAGCCATGTTTATTATGCATTATGAATTGTTAACATAATACATTATCAGTACTGATCATAACAAATTATAAGAGCTCATAAGTCGTATTTGTCCGCTCTAAGTAAAGTGAAGCGTATGGTCCTAAAGCCTCCTCCAGTGTTAAGAGTGAGGCTTCAAGTTGAAGTATTTACTGAAGGATTTACTGAAACACTAAAACATTCACAATAAAGCACATTACAGGCTTCAAATGTCAGAGTTTAAACTAGGGCTGCCATCAGTGTTTTACCCAATGTGGGAAAGGTAATGTTCACCACCGTTAGCTTGGTATTTGTCTTTACTTTACGCTCTCCAAGCTGGGACTGACTTCTTTGGCACTCACAGTATAACGTTATTAACACTATTTATAATGCGTTGTATTAACAATTCATAATGTACAATAAACATGGCTATAAAGTGTAATTCAGTGTAATTCATTTTTATAAATATTTATAACCATGTTTATAATGCCTTATGAATACATTATAACATATTATAAATGCGTTTATAGATGCTTACAAAGGTGACATTCATAGAAAGTGTTACCGAAAGGTGCTTATGGTAACACTTTCTGTGAATGTCACCTTTGTTTTTTCAGGCTTTTGAGTCTTTTCAATGATGCACTTAGTATCAGTTCTGTCCTGGTTGGTTCTGTCTTGCCAGTGTAGCTCTTATATTTTGTTTTATTTTGTTCTATTTTGTTTTATTGCTTTTATCTGATTTATTTTGAATGGATGTTGTTTTTTCTTTCCCTTGTTCTATGTATTGTGTAGTTTTGATTAGTTGTCAATCAATATTGTTGTTCAGCACTTTGGCCAACACTTGTTGTCTTTTAAATGTGATATAGAAATAGAGGTGTCTTGACTTGACTTGACTTAACACACTTGACAGAGAATGCTAATTGCCAATTCTGTTACACCAACTAACAGATGCCTTGGTTGGCTAGCATCACATTGAGTGATATGGGGGGGGGACCATCCTACCCACTCAGAAAAACTGAAGCCAATTATGCTCTCTTTGACTCCCAGCAACAGATGGTTGTGGCAGCACTGGGAACTTGTGATCTCCCAATGATGAGGCCAGTGCTTAGATAGGTACACCATTGAAATGTAATTGAATCTACACAAACACAACGACTGGACTGAACTCAGGATTGGCAGACGCTCAGTATTAAAGGATTTGGATTAAGATCAGAGAGTAAAAACATTGGACCAGAACGTCTCCATTAGCAACGGTTACCAATTCATTTGGTCTCTCAGTAGAGCAATTATCGTCTGCGAAGCCTAAAAGATTAATAGAAGCCTGGATGCAAAGTGACTTCACCTTCTTATTGAGAATTATGCAATTTTGTAAATTTTAATATGTTCAGTGTTTCTCAACTAAAAAGTGAACACACTGTTTTATCAAATGTAGTCACTAGCATCAAAAACCACAGCTCATCTTTGACTATCAGCAATCACGCAATGTAATTTTACCTTGTATCTGCCTAGCTAGCTTGTGACACCTGACTGATAATACCTGATAAAGTAACTTCTGACAGAATTCCTACAGTAGGACCCGGACAGCAGCCATATGTATACACTATCTGTTTGTCATGGTTGAAATCACAACACACACCCCTGCACATAACTCATTTCAGCATGTTTGAATGGGGTAGCAACTTTTAAATAATAAAAAAGAAACATTAAAATGAGTCAAGTTTTAACAAAAAAAGGCATAAAGGCCATGTGTATTCGATTTCATGTTAGATCAGGGTTTCTCTCTTATCTCTTTTTGCTCCAGACATGTTCACAGAGGCTTGAAAGATTTGATCTGTTACTCTGGTGCTGTGCCGGTTGCTCAACTGCATTAGAAGGAGGCAAAAAAAAATCAAAAAGCCAAGCAGCTGTGAAGCAGAGCCACTGTATGTTGCAGAACCCATTTAAAGCACTGTTAACCAGACACATATAAGGAGAGAAACTGTTGTGAACACAGGGATTTGAAGCAGAACAAGCCGGATATGCCTCTGGAATTGGATCCAGCCCCTGTTTAGTGGATGGTTTAGTTCACATATGGAATATTGGATGATCTGTGATTGTGTTTCATTAAAAATCACGTCAAATCTTGATAATACTTTGTACAAACAAGTTGCTATATGCTTAGAACACAACTTGTATACTTGCTTTAAAATGATGTACTTCAAGCCTGGCATCAGAGGGTCAGTTAGTGGGTGATGCCCAACCAACCGATCATCATGTGTTGAGAAACTTGCATATGCTTCTACAAGCATCAGAGAAACTCTCTGTCTCGTGGATGTGTTATTCTTATTCACAACAAAAACAGGAGACTGGAGATCCTACAAGGAATTCAGAACTAGCCAGAGCTCTTGATGGAGAAGAATATATATTTTTTATATGATTCTGGTGATGTGTTCACTTTCTCAGAGTTGGCATTTAATATTTAACCAAAGTTACCTGAGAAGATGTCAGGAGGAAAATGGCAGCACAAACAACAAGCTAGGAGTAACATATTGAACACAAGAGCACTTTTTCTAGTAGCTGAAGCATATTTGCTAGGATTGCTAACTCAGTTATTAGTTAGTAACTAACCCTAACCCTAACTGTTAGACAGCCCACCTCAGATGTGATTTTCCCCTCTTCCTGATGTGACCGTCAATCGTATTCACAAAAATAATGAGCTCCTGGATTTGATGCTCAAGAATTCCAATCTTTAACCTTCTTGAAACCTTCTGGCTGATACAGCCATGACCTCAATGAAGCAAATTAGAGCAGATGAACTCTGAAAAATGTAGGAATCAAGTTTTACAGGTTCTACAATAAAACTGTTCTCTAGAACTACATGACAAAATGTCATTAATTTTATTCAGAATGTTTATTTAGAGGGCAGAAAAATGGATCAAGACAGTTTCAATGTGCGACTTTTAACATTTGAGGCTGAGCTGCTAAGACTGAGGCTGATTAAACTGTTCAGAGGGCCGCTTGCTCATGAGGTACAATGCGCAGCACCCATGAAGAAAATGAAAAGAGATAGCAGTGTTGACATATAAGCTTTTTTCCCTCTAAAACATTTGACTAATTCTACTTCAGCTAAACAAACAGAATTTTTGAAAGAATATAGCAGCTAAATCACTGGACATTTTGTTTGTGGCTACTCTAAAGAAGGACGGAGAGCTTTTCATCTCTCTTTAGTACATTTGTTATATCATAGGGTTTCTGGCTGGATGGATGGACAAGTGTATTACACCCACCTATAGATGTATGCAAAAGTCTGAACACCCCTGGTCATATTCTATTTTTCATTCTGAAAATAAAAAGTTAAAACATCAGGGATCACATTTAAATTTTTAGTTTTTGCAATTATGTTCTGCAAAGCCTAAAAGATTAATAGAACCCTGGATGCAAAATGACGTCACCTTCTTATTGAGAATTATGCAATTTTGTTGATTTAATAATTTAGTATGTTCAGTGTTTCTACCAACTTGGAATAACTTGGAAAAAGTCTGATTCCATTAACTAACATTAAAAGTATGTTTTTTTCTTTCTCCTCTAAAGTTACTATACATATATATATATATATATATATATATATATAAATAATTTACCAACAGTAGCTAACTATGCATTGAAATATGCAGAAGTGTGTTGTTTCTGGAGGATGTTAACCTAGGAGCACCTGAACTTCTTCATACAACCTATAATTCACAGAGAACCTTGTTAATCCTAAAATCCACCATTATCTGCAAGGGCTACATGGCTAATGCACCTTTTACTGTACACTTTCTGGAACCTCATCATTAACAAACTAAGAGTACATGTTCAATCCTCCTACGCATGATCATCTGAAGCTGTTTTTCTGTGAGAAACCTCTACTTTGCTACTGCTAAATCTTTCTCCACAGGCTCTGGAATCAAGCCAGGCTACATATAGAAGTGCATAAAATAGCTATAGGCTGTGTAGCATGTAACGTTGCTAATACCATTCTCTCTCTCTCTCTCTCTCTCTCTTTCCTTCTTGCTCTTCGCTGGAGCAGCGGATCACTTGGGCATCGAGTTCATGGGTAAGAAAAAGCTCCTCTCTTGTTGGCCTGCCAATGAGTCATGCTAGAAGAGTTTGCATTTGCCAGGAATGTTAGTGCTGTTGCGCAACTGCCGTGGCTGTCCATGCTTGTTTGTTTGTTTGTTTGTTGTTTTTTGTGTGCATCTGAATGGAACATTTTTTTGGACAGTTTTCCTCCAAAGAACCCTTTTCAGCACCTCTATTTTTAAGAACGTACTAACAATGGACCAAGTTAGCTTTGAGACGGCATGTCTTGCCTCCATTTCTGCTATTTCTGGCAAACTCTTGAAGCCTTCTTTCTCCCTGTTTCGTTACACATGTTCAAGCTCAACGTGTTCCTCTCCAAGACATCCTGCTGAAGCACTTAAATCCTCTCTCATAACTCTGCACAGTTCCTTTCTCTTTTTCTCTTTGCAATCATCTACGTTAATCATGTCGTATCCTTTCATCCATACTTGTCATGTTATGGTATTCAAATGTAAGGATTTCAGGGATGTAGATATCGCTCAGATTCTTCCACTCCTCCAATCATCCGCCTCGTCCCCCTGCAGAATACTAATGCTCGGCAGTCTCCTTGGAAACAGTCAGAGGAGAGTCGCCGGAGATGCGATGTTGTTGGCTCAGTAACTAACAGCATGGCTGTGTATGAAAACTCCAAGAGTGTTTGTAAAAGAACTGGCAAGGAAAATTCACATAGAACTGCCAATTTTTTTTATTTTCAAAAGCCACAATATTATGATTAATAATAGTTTGTTTTTCTATTGCTTGAATTATAGATTAAAATCATAGTGTGACTTTTAATCAACAAATTAACATTATTTTGCACAGTGTTTCTAACACACACATGCACGCACACACACACACACACACACACACACACACTATTTAAAGAAAAAACAAGATGCTACACTTGTGCAAGAACATCTGCAGGCCCTAAGTCTGACCCACACAGCCACCTCAGTTATATACTTTTGTGTGCAATTATAGAAAAGGGAATCAACACTTGAGCAGGAAAAATAAGAATCTCTGCACTTTTTCTACAAATATTTCAGTAACACTTTCTATGAATGTCACCTTTGTAAGCATCTATAAACACATTTATAACATGTTATAATGCATTCATATGGCATTATAAACATGGTTATAAATATTTATAAAAAAGAATTACACTGAATTACACTTTATAGACATGTTTATTATACATTATGAATTGTTAATATAATGCATTATAAATAGTGTTAATAACATGTTATACTGTCAGTGCCAAAGAAGTCAGTCCCAGCTTGGAGAGCGTAAAGTAAAGACAAATACCAAGCTAACGGTGGTGTAGATTACCTTTCCCACATTGGGTAAAACACTGATGGCAGCACTAGTTTAAACTCTGACATTTGAAGCCTGTAATTTGCTTTACTGTGAATGTTTTAGTGTTTCAGTAAATCCTTCAGTAAATACTTCAACTTGAAGCCTCACTCTTAACACTGGAGGAGGCTTTAGTACAGTACGCTTCACTTTACTTAGAGCGGACAAATACGACTTATGAGCTCTTATAATTTGTTATGATCAGTACTTATAATGTATTATGTTAACAATTCATAATGCATAATAAGCATGGCTATAACGTGTAATGCATTTTTATAAATATTTATAGCCATGTTTATAATGCCTTATGAATGCATTATAACGTTATGAATGTGTTTATAGATGCTTACAAAGGTGACATTCATAGAAAGTGTTATCAATTTTTTTTTTTTTTTGTGAGAAGTTCAATACTGCAGAAAAGTCAGTGACCACTTCTCATGTATTTAATTGGCCATTAAGTACAACTTATTAATATTCAGAAAAATCCACATTTTGCATATATTACAGCTTCCATTCTAGTCAGAAGACTCACGTTCAGCTTTCCAAAGAAATCTGCAGGGATATTTTTTTTTTTCCACACCTCAAAAGTTCAGTCTTAGAAGTGGCATTATCTGCTTCTCAAGATCCAAATATTCCCAAAACTCATTCAGTGCAAAAAGTGCAAAAAAATGATTTATTGGTAGAATTGTCTTAAATTTAGTCAATACAGCTAATATTCCTAATTTTAAGATTATTGCAAGCTTATAATAAGATTATTTAACTTATTTCCTGACATTTTTTACTTGATTTGAGTAATTTTATTAAGCAAAATCATCTCACTACATTGGCAGATAATTTTGCTTATTTTAAGAAATGTGCCTGAAACCATCAAAATTATCTGCCAATATAGTCAGAACTTCACTCAATAAAATGACTTTAAATATGTAAAAAAATGTCTTCAAATAAGTTTTATAATAAGATATTCATACAACCATCTCAAAATGAGAAACATTAGATATTTAGTCTAGATTTAGGCCGATTTCTCTTGAAGATATTTTTTATAGTGTGATGTTGAGGTCTGGACACTGGGGGGTGGTCAGTCCATTGTTCAGCTTCTTTGTTTGATGTGTCCGTCTTCTTTTCTCAGTGAGGCTCTTCTTGACAGCTACACATCCTTTCAGACCCACAGCGCTGAGTTGTCTGCTCACAGTGGAAGGATGGATGTGGATTTTTTTCAGATCTGAAACTTTCATCTCTCTCAAAGATGAAAGTGCTGTTTATCTGATGGGAACAGTTTTGGTGTCTACCAGGTCTTGTATGGTTGTTAAGAGTCTCACTTTCTCAAAAATGTAGTTATTTATTTATTTATTAAACAATCTTCTGAAATAATCAACAACTTGCAATTGATAGCCATTTTGCTGTAAATTAAATAAATGAAGGCTAAAAGTTGAATGTTGTACAATGTGTACATACTCAGGGCCCCCTGGTGGCTCAGAGGACTTAAATGCCTATAGTGATCGCTCATATGACTTATATGACAGTCAGAAAAAGCCCTGCACATGCTCATTTAAAGTAGGGACATTTTTAGTTAATTGGTGCCTAAAATGCTGCTCTTTGCTTACAGAACTTACTTAAGGAAAAAAAAAGTCCATCAGGTATATAAGCTGGCTGCCAAACAAACATTGCAAACTTTGTGTCCATGCAGCTGCTGCTATCAAATAAGCATTAAATTATTTTAAAAAATTATTTGAAGTATCTGCCTGAAAGTAAGACATGGCAGAGCGAGGCATAGCCAATTGAGCGGAATCGCACGTAACAAGTTCGCCAAGAGTGTCGAGTGAATGCTTGTACTTTCAAGCTCGACTAGCTGAACATGAGTAACAGCGTGGAGGCAGAGGATCCGCTGGGAGGGGATGTGAAAGCAGAAAGGCTTCGGTTAATACACACGCTGTTGACTCGCACTCTATATCTTGTCAATATTTAATTACAGCCCTGGTCTAAAACATGAGGCTTCAAATTAGCATAATCTAACTGACAGTTTGCTTCCGAATCTTTCAAGTCATCTAAGGACAGGCTTGGTTGAAGGTATCATGTGCCCTCTCAATACCATATCTAGAGGATCAGGCCTTCTGCTGTAATCTGACGTCAACTCAAATGTTTATCAATATTTTGATCGTTGAATTCTGACTGGAAGGAGATCAATTTGGCCCATGTGTGGCCCAGTCATGTTGATTTTCAGTTTGCATCGGAGAGGCCTGGAGCTGAGACTCATAAATTGCAGAAAAACAGCTTCAGACATGCTCTGACTTCTGGATCTGGCTTTTACCAAGACAAAGATTTTTCTGCTCTGATATGCAAAATGCTGCCTACTCTCTTAGGCTTGTGAATACTTCCTTTCTAAGATTTTTGCCTTCTTGGAATAAGAGTTGCGACTACAATTGTATTTGCACGGTCTTTTTCGCAGGAGACGTTGTTCAAACATGCATAGAAATTGTCACTTAGAGCAGAAGAAATTGCGTACTCAACTTAACTTTAGGAGTTAGTTCTCCAACTTCGTCCAGATTTTGACTGTCTAAATCTTAGGAGGCACCCCGGAGAGCAAAGTATCATCAGAGTCAGCTTGAGACATGCTATTTTGCTATAGATGGCACAATAGCACTAGGAAAAGAGAGACCAAGGCCCAGTCCCTTAGCCCTTAGCCCTCCATTTGGTGTGTTCACGTCTAGGGGAAGGGTGTTCAGATTTTTGTTGTGATAGAGGGGTAGCACGAACTGTTAGGGCTACGTGGTCCTCCAAACTGAGATTTTTCAGAGTCACACTCTGAACAGGGTGTTATGAGGAAAAAAAGGAAAACTGGCAAAATGGCTGCACAAGCGACCAAAGAAACCCAAAAATGTGAGGATTTTCTCTGTTAAAAACATTATATTATCTTAGTTTAATGTCATTTCAATGTATTATGGTCCTTTGCTTCATAACCAGCATAAAAAAATCGCTAACACTATGTTAACGTCTCGGTAGCTAGCTACCTAAATTTCTTGTTTCAACTTAAATAGTCTAACAATACTGAGGCCTGAAGAGCCAGAATGTAACTGCTGCTGCATTTAAGGTGGAACAGGAAAATCCGAACAAGAAGCTGGTGAATAGACTTCAGCTTCATATCACCAAAGAATTAGGGGTGGGTGATAATAAATAATTGTTTCATCCCCCTCTTTTTGAAAGCATATGATTCCCTAAATGTAACTAAAGCCCAGCAGTGAGGTTGCTGAACTTTACCCTCCTCTGCTATCACTGCAGACTGGCAGGGTCACCTACAGAGCAGCGCTAGTAGCTGTTAATGAAGTAATGTTCTTTATATATTTGAGGGTCCCATTTCACAGGGGAAGATTTGAACCACTACCCCTTGTAACTAAGTTTCAAGGGGCAAGGTGACACTCAAAAACAAGGGGTAGGGGTAAAAATAAGAAATGGGATTGGGCTCAAGACTTGTAATGTCAGCACTCAACACTTTCAGATGTTTCAACCACTTGTGGACCAAAAGAGTTTCAGTGTCCTTTTAACAATAATTTGAAAAAGAAGTGTTACTATTTAAAACCTGCTTTTCATACCAAGTAGGACACTTTGAGTGTTGAAGCTAAATATACCCAAAGGAATAGCGAGTGACTG